CCCTGCAGAGAGCAGCCATACTGGGGTATGTAGCTTTACTGGGCCACTGGAGGGCAGGGCTGGTATTATGTATCAGCAATGAGATGAGAAGGAGGTTACTCTCATGCACAGCAGCACCCACGAAGCATGTTCACATATTTTGAGGTCTGTGCCCATAAAGTCGATAATAACATCCCCATTTTCAGGCTTTATTTCATCATCAGCAAAGAGTGATCCTTTGGTCCTTACTCTCCACTTTTGCGATGTGAAACAGAACTAGAGGAAAGGCTTTGCCTGTTCATTTCTTCTTTAACTGCAAGCATCTCTGGGCTATTTAAACTGTGATGAAAACAAAGTGAATCAGCGTGACAATATTGACAGAGCAGGGATCAGGGTGAAAGCAGTTTGTAAACCCGGCTCCTCTGACTTTGCACACCCAGCTGACCACCAGAAATGCTGCAACAAAACTAGCACAGAGAAAAAAAAGCCTTTAGCTTAGCTAAGAAGAAAGCCACGTTTGGGGGTACGAGGTGGTGGTGAGGAGAGTTCCATAAACACAGCTGTTGAAAGGAAACAGCCTCATTTGTATTGTGCTTCAGGAGGGTGAGGAGCACTAGCATGTCTCTGAATTATCTTCACAAGACAATCAGGTCAGCCTTTCATTAATTTTGCAAACCAGATTTGATCCAATTGGGGGATTTTTTACAGTAAATCAAACAGCCTCTACAGTGAAGGACATTCCTTTAAAAAGGAAGTTGAGCTCTGCTGTGAACTGGGGGAAGGAAAGGGATGAATGAGTCAAAAGCCAAATCCAGACTTCTCCTCAGACTCTTGTTCTGAGTGCTGGTGCTATATGAACACATTTCTGAGAAGCCCTAGAGAGGCAGTTACAGACAATGCCCAGTAATGTGAAAGATACTAAAAATTTCCATTAAGCCAATAAATGAATAAATAAAACCCTTAATTTCAACTGGACCTGTAGTTCACTTGTGCTCAGCAGAAAGAAAAAATACATGCTTTTATGTATGGGGAAGAATGATCTATTGGAGCAGAAGAAAACATACCAAAAGAAGAAAGAAGACTTTGAATGACAAAGACAGGGGAAAAGAGCCAAAATAAAATGTAGGAAATGTGACGAGAGGGTAGGCAAGAAGAGGAACAGAAATAATTGTGGATGGAATACTGGTTTTTTATTGTAACTTGTAGACTTTAAAAAAAAAAAAAAAAGAAGCAAAAAGAACAATGTAATCATGTGGTTGAGGGTTATGGTAAACAGAGAGGCCAAAGGGAATAGCTGAACAACTTGCAGAGGAGACAGCTGAAGATAAACAAACCCCCAGACGTCCCCAGCTCACAGGGAGAAAACAGAAACCAAGTAAGGTCTGCAGAGAATGAGAGGTATGTCTCAGTGTAATGCCAGGGGAGAGACAGACCTGCCTTTTCATCTGTACAACTAAAGAAGACCTCAGTTTACTGGGTATTTCTTCTACTCTCTTCTCAACCACAGGGCAGCTGAAGGAATAGACCTAATACTGTAGATTGGGCTAAGAACTGTTCTAGCACTGAGATAAACCTCAGTGTCTTTAGAATTTAAAAAAAGATGTGCAGAACGTGCCATTTTCCCTGGTACTCCAGGTTTAGGGAGATGGGGAAGAGCAAATTTATCTCCTTTGCTTGCCATTCAGCTCACCTTCAGCACACGGGTATGCATGCGTATAGTCAGGGAAGCAAACAGTGCATTAGTCCACTCAAGTGCGTGAATCCAGTATGAGTGTAATGGCAACAATATTTGTGAGGTGGCACCCTGGTTTTGGCACAGCACATTCACAAATTAACACAAGCTTTTGCTGTGCACATCTCATATGTTTTCTGCAATGCTTTCTGTAAAAGTCACCACAGAGGCTGAGGCTGGCAGACACCTCTAAACATATCTACTCCAACCCTGCTGCTCTGAGTTTCTCAGAGCCATGACTGGTTGGGCTTTGACTATCTCCAAGGATGGAGACTCCATAACCTCTCTGGGCATCCTGTTCCAGTGTTTAACCATCTTCACAGTAAAAAAGTTTTTCTTATGTTTAGGTGATATCCCAGTCAAGTTCCTGGCCTTTATGTTTGGAAATGGCTTCCAGGGGAAATTGCTCCATCACCTTCCCACAAATTGAGGTGAGGCTGACAAACCTGTAGTTTCACAGATCCTCCTTCTTGCCCTTCTTGAAGATGGGAGTGACATTCGCTTTCTTCCAATGCTCAGGAACCTCTCTTGATCACCACGACCTTTCAAAGATAATCAAGAGTCACCTCACAATGATACCAGACAGCACCCTCAGCACCCATGGGTGCCTCCCATTGTGTCCTATGGGCTTAAGTATGTCCAGTATGTTTAACTGCTTTCTAACCATGTCATCCTTCATGGGGGTAAGTCATCCTTGCTCCAGACTTTCCCTCTGGTCTGAGGGGCCTGGTATGGCTGAAGTCAGTCTTATCTGTAAAGACCAAGACAAAGAAATACCTTGGGCTTTTCCATGTCCTTTGTCACTGGGAGTGGGGTCAAGCATCTAGGTAAAATGTTTACCAGAGCTGAACATCTTGTACTGAATTACAATTAGCTTTCCAAGAAGGATTACCTTTTATCACTGCCATGACCCTTGCCAATTTGAGGGAGCAAGCTAAGCAATGCTCAGTAAGTGCCCTGCCAGTTAGCGGTAGGAGTCCCAGCATTCAGGTACAACACTGTTCTGTAAACCCTGCAAGGTCTCACCTATCCTACCAAGGACTAATGGCTCTTTTTCATAATTAGTCATTTCTACTAGGCTTAATTTCCTTAAGTAAATACAAAGTATTGCTATTGTCCTGCGAGTGTACTCCCAAACTCAAAATCCTAACACATTTAGGTATCTATCCCAACCATTGACCGCCATCTAAGTAATTTCGATGAACCATTCCCGAGTGCTGCAAAGCTTTCACTTGCTGCTTGCAGAACAGAGAGAAAAGGTATGCTGGGTGGCCACATGCCATCAAACAAGAAAAGCAAGAAACTCCAAGACAAATTTTGCCTCCTGATGCCAAATGAAGTGGGTGGTGTTTTGTGGTAGTGCTGGTGTGGTGTCAATCAGACCTGCCCCCGTCTTTGGGCATTGTAATCAGTAGGAGATCAGGGCTTCTCACCACCTTGTCCTTTGGGACTGAAAGGAGCACATCCAACTCCTACCAGCAATGAACTTGTCAGGACTCAGCCAAAAATGCTCAGCTCTTACTGACATTTAACTCCTTTTCCCCTTTTATCTGCAATGATAACAAGAAGGAATATATCCTCTTGTCAATAGTACCTGGACAGCTAGTCTGTTTTGCGAAAACAAATTTAGAGCACCCTTTATTTTGCTCCTTTTTCACCAGGATGCTTTTTGCTACTGGTCCTTGACAGTAGTACCTGGGATATAAATGATGTTCTGCTACTCTCCAGGGCTGTCCCACTTTAGCAAAAGAGGACAACTCAGAGACATTCAGCACAACCCTCAATAATGCATGGCATTAATCTAGCACCCCATTTTCTAGAGACAAATTGTTGGCACACCGGCAACCTGAACCACCTGTGTCCATGGAGGAGTGATACTTTGTTTGGAAGACCCAAAGGAAAAAAGGTGTTTTTCAGTGTTTCAGGTGGAAAATATCTTCTGACACTTGCTACTGGAAAGTTTTACATAAGCCTTTATTCATTCAGATAACAGACACATCGATCAATGGCTGTCCTGAGCCCACGCGCGTATTATAAAGGAACAGAGTAGAGTTTGCTGTTCTTATGCAACCTAAGGAAGGAAGTTGGCTGTGGCTGAAAATCAAGAGTACACTGCATGGTGGGTGGATTTTTGGCTCTACGTTAAATCTCTAGTGCCACGTCAGTCAAGCCGTTCCTATGTCTTTATGCTCTTAGCATTTGTTCCTGTGTCATATGAAGGTCACGTCACCAATGTTAGTTGAATAGGTGAAGCACTCAGTATTGGCTCAGTTTTGTTTCATTGAAGTCAATGGTGGCTTTAGCAACATAATTAAGCCCATTTTTGCCACTTCTGCAGACTCCCTCGGACTGCAAGATTCAAAGCATTGTTCACGTCTGCTCATACGCCCCTACACCTCAAAACCAGCTTGTTTGCACCCACAGCACCTGATTCCTCTGTATTCCAGCTCTTGTGAGCATTCTCGCTTCTGCGCGTGCAGAAGCGCAGATCTCATGAGATCTCTCTCATGATCATCAAAGATACAGGACAATCTGCACTAGCGATACAGTACGGATATGTGAAAGTGGGAGACTAAGACTGAGTGAGGAATTCCAGGTGGGAGACTAGGATTAGAAACTTCTGAGAGACAAATCAGTCTCAAAGTGGGGGAGCTGAGGTGGGAGGGAGAGTTTGGCTAGAAGACTGACAGGGCATATAGAGCACTGGCCCTGCAGAAGAGACAGCTACAGAGGCAGGAGCAGGTGTATGAAGCTAGGGATGGGAAAGAACCAGGCTGAGCGGTTTGGGGCAGTTGAGGATTGAGCCTGATAGAAATGTCTAGAAACATCTAAGCCCACTAGTCAGGTTCTTGGCCAGCCCAGAAGCCAATGGACAACCTCTGCTGTGTCTTCTATCTTCAATGTCCGGCAAATGTGAGGAAGACAAGCCTGCTGCTGCCATTATGTCCTCTGTTAGCTCAACCCAAAGAGGTTTGTGCTGTAATCCTAAAAGCTCCAAGCTGTTTCATTGCTTTTACACAGAACAACAGACCCTCCATGGCTTTCTAAAGTACCAGACAATGCAGACCCCAAGTTGAAAAACAAGTATTAATGCAACCCAGAGCTCTCTGTGAGGAGAGCACACTATCTCCTGTGGCTTCTTTTCCACGTTTCCAAAATACTGCTGATTAGCCATTGATGCTATTTTTAAATTTGAAAATTGAAATTCCATAGGAAAGACGGGTGCAAAACACAGGTCGCTGTGGAGCTAGAGCATCTCAGCCTTATCCAAAGATTCATTTGGTCTTTTTCACACCATGTTGTCATTTCTTTCTTTCTTCCTCACTGCCTCTCTTGCCTTGAGTATTGGAAACCAAAAGTTGATCTGAAAAGACAGAAATATGATGCTATGATCATGGTATCACTGAGTTAAGAGATCGCCTAGACACTAACATCCTGTATAGTCAGTACTGAAGGCTATTAAAAAACCAAACCAAAACAAACTATGTGTGTCTGCAGCTATCTATCTGGATTTGCCATAAATATATGCATATGTGTTTATATTTCCATTGGTGCATATATGCATACATATACAGGGCAAATGTTTTTGCATGCAATAAGTTCTGTTTCCTAATGGTATTTGCAGTTGCACTCCCACTGTGTTTTACAACAGAAATATACCACCTTCCATTTTGCTAAGCAACAACTGAACATCTTTCTCAACATTAAGAGGCTGCTGCTCACAAATGCCTAACATTTGCTGTCTAGATTTCAGGAATACCCATTGTGCAGGAGGTACTTTTCATACATTCATGAAAAACAAGTTTCTTCTCTGGAGGGCTCTAAGTCTGAGGAGTATTTTCTTGCCAGCACATAGGCATTTGGGTGTACCCATGTCATGTCTGATGCATGTGTGTTGAAGGACAGAACAAAACAATTATATGACCTAATCTTACCAATAGGCAACTTGTCTCCGGCCCTTGCGCAGGAGAGCACTGGGGAAAGTCTATTAGCCCATAATTGAAATTAGTAAGTGTTTAAGTATTTCCTGGATCTGGTTACTAACCTGAGAGAAGGAGATTTTTTTTTCCCCTAGAGCTGATGTCTTACCGTTCTAGCAAATATGTTCTTCCCAGTTTTCTCTTGTAGCTTTGCTCTTTTCTTGAGTAATTTAGCATGCAAATAATGTATCCGTTTCCTCTCAGTGTCAGGATAAAATGAAGTTGACACGAGTATTTTAAGTTGGGTCAGGAGGCCAGAGAATAACCCAAAAATGATTAAGAAGAAGATGATGACTCCAAGCTGGATCCATGTCGTGGAGAGGGTGAGCTCTGGCTGAGGGATGCAGTCATGCTTAAACAAAGAGATCTTGAAAGGATCAGTCTTTGCAATATGCTCTCTCATACCAATGATAAAGCTGTTCTCATTCCTCTGCACAAGAAAAGGGGAAAAAAAGAGTTCATTCCCTTTCTTAATATTTCTCCCATTGGACATTCAGATTTACAAAGGACCATAAATCATCTAGTCCATCCAGTGTCTCTGTATGCTATGCTCATAACAATATATTTATCGGCTACTTATAAATGTTTCAAATGGCATTTTCACCATTTCTCTTGGGAGACTGTCCCACAATTTGGACTGTTAAGAACTTACCTTCTCAGTGGCTCTGGTAGACAAATATTTAGCTAATCTGGCTATAATGGTTTAATACATTCCCACTCCCGTGAATCTGCTCAGATCCTCTGTCGGACGGTCCTTCCTTCAGAGTAAAACAGCAGAGCAGAGCGTGTCCATCCCTTTGGTTGTGGCTCAGTACACGATCAGCAGTGCTTCCACACCCACCGAGGCAGGTGCTCTGACCACAAAGTTACCAGGCAAACCAAGCCACCTCTCCTCCTCTACTAGGTGCCTTTGCTGAGAAGAGCTGATGTCTTGCACTGCTTGTGGATTGAAATGCTGAATGAGAGGGACTAAATTAGACACGCTGCTGGGACCAGTATTTCATACTGGCAGGCAACTTTCTACTCTGCGTGTAGGAACACTGTAGGAAGACTGAATCACCCAGCCCTCTTTTCTGACCATGTCAGGGGGATATGTAGCTCTTCCTTGTGGCTCTTCTAACCACCTTACAGAGGCCAGGTACCTCTGTTAGATGCTCATTGGAAAAATCAGCTGCCCAAAGTATGCCACCCATTTTCAGCCTGTTAGCCTTTCCTTGACATTATCCTGTTCCAATCTATCTCAGTACATTTTATCCCTAAACTGAACCAATGTATAACCAAGAAAAAACTGCATTAGGAACTCCATATGAAACAGTGGCACAAGTCATGAAGAACTTTACTGTTCACACCAAGAATAAACATCTAAAGAAGTCGTCGAGTATGTTCTGCTCACCCAGCCAGCTTTCTACACTCCCTGAGGTCAGCAGCCCTGAGGCTTGTTATGACGAATCTGTTGAGGTTAGATTTTACATTTTGATGTGACTAGCCTTCCTTGGGGTACCAGAAACAATCTGATGATGGCATCATTTTCTGTTTTGGGAGAGTCAACCAGCTCTCTGCAGGAGTGAACACTGCACATAAAGAGAGCAAATTCACAGTACAGGACTCATGAATCAGCCAGACAGGGTCAGGCTCAGGCTCTCTGTCCATGGATGGTGGGACTTAGCTACTTCTTTCCTTGACTTGGGTCACAACCAAGGCAGGTCATGATAAGGGGCTGTCCTCAAGGTACGAGGATAGAAACACAGGCAAAACCACACGCAGCAGTACACAGAGAATAGCTGAGGCTACAGCAAGTTGCTTAGGGCTGTGTTCAGTTGGGTTTTTAATATCTCCAAGGATGGAGACTCCACAACCTGTCTCAGAAACCTGTTCTAGTGTTTGATCACCTGAAGAGTAAAAAAAATAAACTTCTTATGCTGAAATGGAACTTCCTTTAATTTGTGCCCGTTGTCTCTTGTCCCTGCACTGGGCACCACTGAGAAGAGTCTGACTCCTCTTACCTATACCCACCCCTCCATCAAGTATTTATACACACTGATGAGATCCTCCTGAGCCATCTCTTCTCCAGCCTGAACAGCCCCAGCTCTCTCAGCCTCTCCTCGTATGACAGATGCTCCAGTCCTTTAATCATCATCTTGACCCTTTACTCAACTCACTGCAGTACATGCATGTCTCTCTCGTACTGGGGAGCCCAGCACTGGGCACAGCACTCCAGATGGGTCTCACCAGTGCTGAGCAGAGGGGAAGGATCACCTCACTCAGCCTGCTGACAATGCTCTGCCTAATACAGCCCAGGGTAGCCCTTTCTTTGCCCTAAGGGCACTTTGCAGGCTTGTGGTCAACTTGGTGTCCACCAGAACTCCCAGGGCCTTTTTCTGCAAAGCCACCTCCCAGCCGGTTACCCCCCAACATGTATAGTGCATGGGGTTATTCCTCCCCAAGGACTGCAAGACATGGCATGTTCCTTTGCTGAATATTATGAGGTTCCTGTCAGCCCAATTCTCTAGACTTTTCAAGTTTCTCTGAAAGGCAGCACAATCGCCTGGTGTTTCAGCCATTCTTCCTGGGTTTATATTATCTGCAGACTTCTGTGGCTACAATCTGTTCCTCTGTTCAGGTTATTAATGAAGAAGTTAAATAGTATAGGTTCCAGTATCTACTCCTGGGGGACATGAAAAGTGACTTTGTGCCACTAATCAGAACCTTTTGGGTTCAACAGTTTAGCCATGTTTCAGTTCATGTCACTCTCCCCAGCACTGGGCACAGCACTCCAGATGGGTCTCACCAGTGCTGAGCAGAGGGGAAGGATCACCTCACTCAGCCTGCTGACAATGCTCTGCCTAATACAGCCCAGGGTAGCCCTTTCTTTGCCCTAAGGGCACTTTGCAGGCTTGTGGTCAACTTGGTGTCCACCAGAACTCCCAGGGCCTTTTTCTGCAAAGCCACCTCCCAGCCGGTTACCCCCCAACATGTATAGTGCATGGGGTTATTCCTCCCCAAGGACTGCAAGACATGGCATGTTCCTTTGCTGAATATTATGAGGTTCCTGTCAGCCCAATTCTCTAGACTTTTCAAGTTTCTCTGAAAGGCAGCACAATCGCCTGGTGTTTCAGCCATTCTTCCTGGGTTTATATTATCTGCAGACTTCTGTGGCTACAATCTGTTCCTCTGTTCAGGTTATTAATGAAGAAGTTAAATAGTATAGGTTCCAGTATCTACTCCTGGGGGACATGAAAAGTGACTTTGTGCCACTAATCAGAACCTTTTGGGTTCAACAGTTTAGCCATGTTTCAGTTCATGTCACTCTCGCTTTATTTAGCTCATTCTTCATCAGTTTGTCAATGAGGATGTTATGGCAGACAGCGTTGGAAGCCTTAATAAGTGCACAATCAGCATCCACGGTTCTCCCTTCATCCAACAATCCAGTAATCGTATCATAGAAGGCTGTTAGGTTGGTCAAGCATGATTTAGCCTTTGTAAATCCATGCTGAATACTCCTAATAGCCTTCTTGGCCTTCACATATCTGGAAATGGCTTCCATGATGATATTATCTATCACCTTCCCAAGGATCAAGGTGAGGCTGACCAGACTGTAGTTCCCTGGATCTTCCTCCTTGCCCTTCTTGAAGACGGGAGTGACAGTTGCTTTTCTCCAGTCCTCAGGAACCTCTCCCAGGCACCACAACCTTTCAAAGATAATCAAGAGTGGCCTCACAATGACATCAGCCAGCCCTCTCAGCACCCATAGGTGGCTCCCATCAGGTCCCATGGACTTTGTTTAAATGTTCCCTGACCTGATTCTCCTCCACCAAGGGCAAGTCTTCCTTGCTCCAGACTTGCCCTCTAGTCTCAAAGGCCTTGCATTCCTGAAGGGTGATCTTCCTAGCAAAGGCAGAGCTGCAGGTGACATTGAGTACTTTGGGCTTTTCCATGTGCTTTGTCACCAGGACCCCTACTGCACCTAGCAGTGGACCCATACTTCCCCATGTCTGTCTTTTGCCACTGATAGACCTGTAGAAGCCCTTTGTGCTGCCCTTTGCCTGCCTCACCTGATTCAGCTCCAGGTGGGCTTTGGCTTTCCTGACTCCATCCCAATACAATCAGACAGTACCTCTATGTTCCTCCTGGGCCCCTTGTCCCTGCTTCCACCTCCTCTATGGTTCTTTTTCATGTTTGAGTTTTGTCAGGAGCTCCTTGCTCATCCATGCTGGCCTCCTTGATTTATTTGGGAAGAACCATTCTTGAGCTTTGAGGAGGTGAGTTTTGAATATCAACCAGCTCTCCTGGACCCCTCTTCTCTGAGGACTATATCCCAGGAGACCAGGACCATTTTGTGTGCTGGTTTGATGATGCTGGATGTGCAGCAGCAGGGTTTATATGAGGTGTAAAGCCCCCTTATCCTGCGTAGTAATCTGCCTCCTCAACATATCTCACATTAGACTGAGTAGATGATGAAAGCCTCTCTGCTTTTGCACAGGAATCTGACCTCTCCAGGATAGGTCTGACTTGTTATACATGTGCTGATGGCACAGTTACAGTGAATCCAATGGCTTTTGCACCTACCTTCCTAAAAGAAAGTTCAGGTAACAATTAGAAAGGTAACAATTAGAAGTTGGCAGCCTCCATCCTTTAGGAAAAGTGGTTTTCCACTGACACAATCTGGAAACCTTTGTCTTATGTCTGCCATACAGATTCTGAATTTCTCTACTCTTTGTTAAGATAAAACTGGACAATAATTTAATTTTTATCCCATGGAAGAGTTTGATATTTTGATATACAATACAAAATATCATCTGAAGTATGACAGAATTTGACCAGCAGCTTGACTTCTTTTCATTAGTAGTTTACATTTGCCTGAAGTGCTCCCATGCCTCAAACATGCTGTGCACTACGTCTTCCTTCTCCTTTATGGTTCAGTCCCAACCAGATGAACGTCCCATGATACACCGGGACCACCAGTCTGCCACAACACTGTCTAAGCTGAACCTGCAATGGTTTAGCAGTGGTTATAGAAAATGTGGTCTGGCTGAAGAAGCCAGCTCAGAGGTTTAATATGTCATGTATGCAAAAGTGAGAATGAGAATCTGCCAAAGACTGTATGTCCTGTTCTGTTTGCTTGTAATTTCAAGGAACACACTTATTGCATTGCTCACCTTAATAACCTTACTCTCTGGAATTGCTTTGGACTAGATGAATTTCGGGTGGATGGGGAGAAATAGGAATGAATTCTTGTTATTATGAACTCTAAAAGGAAGTAATAGAAAATGCTGAGTAAGAAAAAATTGACAGAAGAAAGAGCATATATCATACTGTACTAACAGTCAAGCATCCCTTTGAAATCTTTGTATCCTGAAAGTATCAAAGGGTTATATGCTTTCAGGAAATGTTTTAAGCCTGATCTTGCAAGCTATCAATCCCCAAATGTTTCCTGTGCCTGCACAGCATCACATGGGTCACGCTCCAGCAGTGGACTCTCCAGCCTTAGAAGTATTCACAGACAAGACTCTGAGCAATCTGATCTGACTCTGACGTTGGCTCTGTTTTGAGCATGAGGTTGGTCTAGATGGTCTCCAGACGTCCCTTCCAACCTAATTACTCTATGGTTCTGTACACCACTGCTGCTCCTGCTAGAAGAACTTTGAGATTTCGGCAACGTGTTATTATTTCATGTGTACACAGCCATGCTTTTTTAAATTATGAGTTCCTCAAATACTCAGCTAAAGAAAGGTAGGCATCTCTTACGTCAGTGTCGCAGTGGCATTTTGACTATAAAAGTGGTGCTTCACAAAAGTCAGCACTGTGAGTTTCCAATGTTAAGCTTCTGGTCTTCTCCACATATATAAATGGAGGAATGAAAGTCCTTCTTCCTGTATTTACTATTCTCTAGAAATATGGAAAGTGCAGAGAACTGTCTGGTTCCATCCAACATATGTATCTGTAAAGGCAATGGCCCTTTTTGAAAGAAAATGAATGATAATGCCATGAAAGAACTGATGGCTCATTGGCTGTACGTCTGCTCCTGCAGCTGCTGAAGATGACGGGAAATTTTTCAACACTAAACTAAGAACTGATAAGTACTTACTTGCTGAAAGAGGCTGAGTTGAATCTCTAGATCCGGTACTTCTTGGAGATGTTTATTCACAGAAATAATTAACCAATAAAACAAATAATCTACTGCAGCAAACAGAAGCCAGATGCAAAGATGAATAATTACAGGGAGAAAAAAGTACTGCATGTTTTTTCTGTCCTTCCTTGTGAGGCAGAAAGATGGGATTGTCACATAATCTTTTCTTTCTTTTCTGTTAAGTGGCAGAAGGCAGGGTCTTTGCTGTTGCTTTTGGTGCTCATCAAATGCAATGAACTGTTTAGTGATGTAAGTATTCTTAAATTTGGCACTGTGAGAGCCCACAAATTTTTTGATAAAGAGGCCAGTTCCAAAAGAAGCTAGAAAAATCCCCACTATAGGCAATACTTTCTGGCCTATATAAGGCAGTATAGTCAGCATAAAAGATATCTGGTTAGCAACTCTCTGGATTTCTTGCTTTGTGTCATTTAGGTCTTGTTTTAATGCATCATCTGAAATCGAATAAGATGGTGTGAATTCATGCCGTAGGAACGCTATATATTTAGGTAGTTCGGTGGAAAGCTTGGCCGCCTCGTAAATCCATTTTACTGCCTCAACATAATATTTTATCAAGGCAAATTGCTCATACTCCAAATGACAGGTTATACTGTCTGCCAGAATCTTTAGGTTGTGAAAAATATTTTGGATGTTGCCGGCCACCACGATGCCTGTGCCAGCAGTAAGAAGAGCAGCCATTTTGCAATCCGCACGAAAGAAGGAACAGGATGCTAAAACAGCGCAGGTGCTTAAAACAGGAGAGCGCAATAGAAAGCGAGATCCAGATGAATCCAGAAATCAATAAGGGACCCAAAGGGTGGTGTGCCAGGGAGAAGTGCATGCCAAGGAATAAGAGAAAGCTTGAGAGGAAGCCAACTGCAGAGCAAACTGCAAAAAGCTGCATCAGATACTTCCAGCCAGGCTTCCTTTCAGATATAAAAATTCCCCAGGCATTCTGGGCTATTGAGACAAATGTTTGCATTTTCTTCTGATTGTTGCTGACACTGCGATAGCTGAAACTAAAAGGAAGGGAAAACAAAAACACTGTTAGTTCCAGGGTCACACTATTGACAATTATGTGCTTTTAACTGGCTGATCAATAGTACTTCACATTGCAAAAAATGCAGGTCTGACTCACACGGGGGCCGAACAGCCCCGCGAGAGACCCAAACCTTCATCCCCAATATCACATATCTAAACATGGAAGAGATGACTCTAAAAGGTATTCTATCTTCTTTTCAAAGTATTTTTGTCCCTTTACTTTTTGTACACTTCGATTTCTCATTTGCTATGTAGACACAGCGGTTCATACGTACATACATGCGTTTGTGTATGTATGAGGAGAGAATGAGAAGGACGCAAGCCTCCC